GCCTTAGGGTGGGGGGAACCCTCCTGTACCCCACCAGGGCCGAGGCGGTCACTTCCGCCTCGGGCCTCCCACTCTGAGCGCAGTGCGGGGGAGCGAGTGCCCTCCTAGAACGGGTTACCTTTCCCCTGTGCGCTTGGGCGGAAACTGAAGAGCCACAGGCAAGGCCGGCGGGTGGGAGAGAACCGGTCTCCCCAGCAAAGCGCACGGCCCCACCTGCCCTGGTGACCCACGATGAACCGCTGGCCCCTGCAGTTACTGGGGAGCCTGTGGCCAGAGAAGAGCCAGCGGGGTGGGGGTAGGGGTGGGGCATGGGTCGAGCTACAAGGTCCTAGCCAGCATACTGAGTACTGTGGTTACACGCATTCCCTTCGTTAGTACTCATCGTGAAATTGGTCGGGTAGGTACTTACGTTCCCATTTTCACTTAAGAGAAAACAGGCTCAGAGACTCTGGGTCCTTAGACCGAGGTCCTGGTGAAGGAAGTAATTGAGACTAGAACCCAGGTCTGTGCCACAGCGGCGCCTCCTGGTGGGTGATGGCGGCACTGGGCCCAGCTGTCAGTTCCTGGGAACTGAGAGTTAGCGCTTCCTCTTCCCGGCTCAGCCGCCTCGGGACCAGGTGTTGAGGTGTTGCTGCGTGAGAGGGGCTGCTCCTCTAAGCCAAACACCTGCATCCCTTTCTCCCCGACCCTTGTTAGTGAGTCCGTTTCTCACCTGCCCCCAGCAGAACACGATGAAGCTCATCATCCTGGACCACTATTCTCAGGCCAGTGAGTGGGCCGCCAAGTACATCAGGAACCGCATCATCCAGTTTCACCCCGGACCAGACAAGTACTTCACCATGGGGCTCCCCACCGGTGCGTTATGCGATGGAGAGCGGGCCGTGGTTGCGGAGTGGGGGGAGAGTAGGGGATTTTAGGGAGCCAGGGGACTTGAAGGAGGACTCTGCGGTACCGGTGCTGAGTGAACAACTCCCCTGCCTCCTGGACACACAAAACAGAGGACCCAGCTTCCTTTGTAGGTGGTTGGGTTGCTGCCTGCTCCTGAAGACTCCTGGAACAGGAAGAACTTGGTTTTTGGCTGCATCCTAAGTCAGCCCTGTCAGCCATGGGTTCCTTCCCAGGATTAAGTCCCAGTGCCTTAAGGCAGACATTTTATGTAATGAATGCATTTTTCTGTGCATCTGGAGTGCTACCATCTAGTCCCACCACCCAGTCCATTCCTTTGGGAAAAATCAGACTGTTGCCTTTATAGGAAGATATTTTGATCCCAGCTCCTCCAAGCAGATACCCTGATTCTTTCTTTCAGAAGCGGTCCTCCTGCCTTTTTTATGTGTTTTATGACTCACTCTTCAATGAGACTCAACCTGGGAGTTTGCTGCTCCTCAGGGAAGTCTTCTCTGGACCCTCAGGCTGGCCTGTGCTTACCCGTCACAGCTGGAATTACTGCTTCTTGTCCCCACTCTGAGATAGTCTTCCAGGGTGGCTGCTATATCCCTGCGTCTCTGCATCCCCATCAACAGCCCCTGTGCCTCACATGGAGTAGTTGCTCAGAGAATGTCATGTTAGTAATTAAGTCTGATGTTCACTCAACTACTAATCACAGTCATTTCAGTCATCAGTGAGCTGCACGCTGGGGATTTAGCAATGGACAAAACAGACACAGCTCTGCCCTCTGGGCTTACAGTCTAGTGGGGAACCGGGCAGTAAACAAGCATGACATGCAACATTTGGGTAGGACTTCAGATCTGACTTGTTCAAAGCAGCCCTGACTCATTCCCGGGTGCCCTCTGGGCTTCTAGGGGTGGGGGTGGGGGCTGAAGGGTGTTCATGGCTGTGCCCTCTCTTGTAGGGAGCACCCCACTTGGCTGCTACAAGAAGCTAATTGAGTACTATAAGAATGGAGACCTGTCCTTCAAATATGTGAAGACCTTCAACATGGACGAGTATGTGGGTGAGTCTTGCCCTTTTAGTCCTTATCTGATTCCAGGAGAGTCTGAACTCCTCCCCCTCGCAGGCCTGAGAGGAATTCGGAGTGTCAGGAAACCAGTGACATTTGCTGCTAGGCTCAGTTACTGATACCTATCTCTTCCAGGCCTTGGTTTACTCAGCTATAAAATGGGGCCAATGAAACTGACCTCATAGGGTGTAAGCATTAAATGATATCACAGACGTGAAAGCCTCTTATTTAGAGCAAGCACTTAGCAAATATTCTAGTATTTTCTCCTGTGCCTCCTCCCCAACTCCATGCCCTTTCTTTTTAGAACAAATGACTGGAAATGGGATCATGGCTGGGGGTGTCCCCGTGTCTGTCTGGACTTTCTCTCCAGTGTTCATCCTCTAGCGCCCCTTGCTGCCAGGTACACTGGGAGGGGAGATGAGACTGGTGTCTTTTCCACTACTGAAAAGCTACAGCTCCTTGGTCTCTGTCACCTCCTTCCATGCCCGACCATCCCCCCCTATAATTTTGTAATGGTTTCCCCTTAAACATTGTTTTTAAATTGTAGCAAAATACACAAAACATAAAATGTACCATCTTAGCCATTTTTATGTGTTCAGTAGTGTTAAGCACAGTCATATTGTTGTGCGACCAATCTCCACAACTTTTCATTTTGCAAAACTGAAACTCTATACCCATTAAACACCAACTCCCCATTTTCCACTCCCGTAGCCCCCGGCAATCACCATTTTACTCTCTCTATGAATTTGACTGCTCTAGGTACCTCATAATGAATCATACAGTATTTTGTCTTTTTGTGACTGGCTTATTTCATTTAACATCATGTTGTTGAGGTTCACCATGTTGTAGCATGTGTCAGAATTTCCTTCCTTTTTAAGGCTCACTGTAAACATTCTTGATGTTTAGCATTAAGCATTAAATATTCACTTGAAACATGCTTTTTCTTCTTGCCTGAAAAGAACCTTTTGGGAAGCCCCGAGATAATTCTCCCTAACCACCTGGTATGCAAGCGGGGGTTCAGGCTGAGCAGGGTATAACGAAGGGAGCGGTGGGGTTAGGAGGCACAGGGTAAGGGGTGTGCATGCTTCCTTTCCCAGATGGGCATAGCTTCACCCCCAGGTACCTAAGCCACCTCCAGAAGCCCAGATTAACTCTGGCCTCCAGCCTAAGGTTACTCTCCCATGAAAAGGAGATCAAAATGAGGCGATTCCTCAGGCCTCTGGGGTGTAGCTACTCTGGTCCAATCCTGTAGTCGTAGGTGGAGGTGATGGGGAGACAGAGACATCAGCTCAGCTTATCCCGAGGGGGGGAGGGTTGGAGGGCTGGTGCCCAGGGTTCCCTGAGAGCATCTCTGGGGGCCTGGGGATAGCCTGGCCTCCTCCCCGAGAGGAAGGCTCTGGCTGCGCCTGGGCATGACTGAGTGTGGCCGTGGCCCCACAGGTCTTCCTCGAGAGCACCCAGAGAGTTACCACTCCTTTATGTGGAACAACTTCTTCAAGCACATTGACATCCACCCGGAAAACACCCACATTCTGGATGGGAATGCAGCTGACCTGCAGGCTGAGTGTGACGCGTTTGAGGAGAAGATCCAGGCTGCAGGCGGGATTGAGCTGTTTGTTGGAGGTGAGCTTGACAGTGCGCAGGTGGCTAGGCCAGACGCAGCACAGACACATGCGGTCTCAAACAGCTTCTCTGCTAGTGACTGTAGGAGCCACTCATGACTGAGGAGGCAGGGAAGGCAGAGTGGGACCCCTAGCTCCTGCCCTGGTTCGGCTGCTCAGCAGCTGTGACAGTGGATGTCTCCTCTTTCTGCACGTCAGTGCCTTGTCAGTAGAATGAGGGTTTGAATTTGGGCTCTGAGATTTTGTTGCCCAAAGTTTTATAGCTCAGTCATGGGACTTACCTAAACAGGTAAAATCACATGCAGTCCCAGAAGGTTCCTCACTCAGCCCCTGCACGCTGTAGACAGCCAAGTGAACTCCAGGGAAGTTTTGTGATTTGCCCAAGGTTAGCTGGCCAGAGTGGTGGAGACAAGGCAGGCACCAAGAGTGTCCTCGTCTCAGATTTGTGCCTTTGTTCTTACCCTGGGCTGCCCTCTTACATTTCCATGTGTTGTCAGCTCCGGAGTCACCCACAGGGTGTGAAGTTGGACTGCCTTTTACTGCTCTGGATTTAACTCTATTCAAGATGGGGAGGAAGAGGCCAGGAGCGCTCATATTCTGAGATTGTATAAAGTTGGCAGCCCCTGTCCAGGCCCTGTATGTGTTTTATTCACTGTGACTCCCCTGGTAGCAGGACCCCTGACTATTAGCAGGAGAGAGAAAGAGAGGTTACATTTCAGTGACCTGGGAGGAGGAAGCTATTTGGAGTCCCCGTTTCCTAGCTTCCTGAGGATGGAAGCAGTTAACAATGGTGGTGTGCGCCCTAGAAAGAAAAGGGTGGGAGACGGAGAGGGAAGGATCACGTGCTTAGGTACCTGCCCAGGAGGAAAGGGACATGGTTTTCGAGTTTTGTGGAACCCGGGTTGGGGAGGAGAGAGCGTCCCCCCTGTAATCTGAGGCCCTGGCACTGATAGGCTGCCCTCTCCCCTGGGCAGGCATCGGCCCCGACGGACACATTGCCTTCAATGAGCCGGGCTCCAGTCTGGTATCCAGGACCCGTGTGAAGACGCTGGCCATGGACACCATCCTGGCCAATGCTAGGTTCTTCGATGGAGACCTCGCCAAGGTGCCCACCATGGCCCTGACGGTGGGTGTGGGCACTGTCATGGATGCCAGAGAGGTAAGGGTGCAAGGGGTCCACGGGCCTTCACTGGGGATGGGACTGGTCTGGTTTCAAAACTTTAACTCTGCAGGTACTACCTAGATACATTTGTATTAAAAATGAAGACATTATGAGGATAAAATCCCAACTGACCCTATCAGTGTTCCTCCTTCCTCTTTGGAGGGAACCATTGTTCCCCGTGTGAGGACTGCCCAGGAGACGGCAGGCTCCCTGGCCTGTGTATGTACCCCTTTCGAGCTGCTCACAGGCAGAGGAGCCCAGCAGTACTGCTGTCTGAGTATGAATTTGCACCTGCCCAGGTACCAAGATGGACCCTCTGGTTCCCTGCAGTTGGGGGTCACTGTTTGAAGGGAGCTCCTATAGGTCCAGGATGTTGGTGGTTACAGCCCTGAGTTTGGGGATTCATAAATGTGGAAACGTAAGTGTCCTAAACTGAATTTAGTAAGTTTTTTTCCTAGAAAGTTGGGTAACATTTTTTTTTTTGTGGCTCTAATTTCCTACTGTCTTTCATTAGAATTTTAGAAGCATTTTTTCTTCCTGGATTATACTTAGTGGGAAGCAGACACAGACATTTTAACTTTAAGCTTCTTTGCATAGGTCTGTAAACAAACATCTAAGTCCAAAGTGAACTCTTGTGAAAGGTGCAATGGCGCCAAAATCCTTGTGGGTAGCTTCAAGTCAGTATCCAGGGTCACTCTGCCGTACTTGGCCTTGTGGCTTGCAAACCTCTAATCTGAGAAAGAGCCTGGGCTGGATATCAGGAAATTCTCTTCTAAAATTAGATCTAGAATCCTGAACAAAGAGCCATATTTCCTCTATGCCTCTGTTTTCTCACCTTTTAAGGAATAGTAGCCCTGGCTGGTGTGGCTCAGTTGGTTGAGCATTATCCTCTGTACCAAAAGGTTGCTGGTTCTATTTCTGGTCAGGGTACATGCCCAGGTCTCAGGTTCAGTCCCCGGGAAGCAGCTGATCAATGTTTCTCTCTCACATCCATATTTCTCTCTCTTCCTTCCTCTCTAAAATCAATAAAAATGTATTTTAAAAGAAAAAAGGAACAGTAAATCCTGTTCACAATTCCATGGTGCACATGAATTACAAAGGAAATCCACAGAGCTGAGTTCTTTCTGATCACTGTCCACTACTTGCTTTCTTGGTGTCTCAGCTGTTGAAGGGAGTCTGTACCTTTGTTGCATTTAAACCAGCGGTTCTCAACCTGTGGGTCGCGACCCCTTTGGGGGTCGAACGACCCTTTCACAGGGGTCGCCTAAGACCTCAGAAAACACATATATAATTACATATTCGTTTTGTGATTAGTCACTGTGCTTTAATTATGTTCAATTTGTAACAATGAAAATACATCCTGCCTATCAGATATTTACATGACGATTCATAACAGTAGCAAAATTACAGTTATGAAGTAGCAACGAAAATAATTTTATGGTTGGGGGTCACCACAACATGAGGAACTGTATTAAAGGGTCGCAGCATTAGGAAGGTTGAAAACCACTGATTTAAACAAAATGCATTATCCCAGGTCACATTAGTAGGTCTAATATTCGGAACTAAAAGTGACCAGATTAAATGGCAGCTGTGACCTCACCATACAGATGACTCTCAGCATTGTTTCCAAGGCCCCCTGAGAGATTGGGACTCATCTTTTTATGACTGTGAAAACTCACAAAACCTAGGACCTCCTAGAACCCAGTATCAAAACTGTTGGGATAAATGTGGGCCTTTGTAGGGCACACCTGTTCACAGGGCACTTGCAGCCACCATCAAAGGTGCCAGGAGACACTATGGAGTGGTGGTCAAGAACATGCACTTAGGGTCAGAAATGACCTGGGGCAAGTCACTTAGCCCTGGCCCCAACCCCAGCCCATTTCCTTACAGGACAAGGAGTAATGATGCTCCCTACTCAGGCAACTTGTGTGATAACGTAGGGGGAGCCTGGAGCAGTGTGCTGCATGCTGAAGACTTGCGATGGTATATAGAACAGTCGTCCTTACAGCGGTTTGGGGCGGCCACACTTCAGGTTTTGCTGCTCCTCCTCTGTCATGGGCTTGTTCTCTGATCCCCAGGTGATGATCCTCATCACAGGTGCTCACAAGGCGTTTGCTCTGTACAAAGCCATTGAGGAGGGAGTGAACCATATGTGGACCGTGTCCGCCTTCCAGCAGCATCCCCGCACCGTGTTTGTGTGCGATGAGGATGCCACCCTGGAGCTGAAAGTGAAGACCGTGAAGTATTTCAAAGGTGAGGGAGGGGTAGGCTTGGGAGTAGGTGGCCAAGTTCAGGATATGCCTAGCTTTCATGCTCTGGACATTTTAATCAAATCTGATTTTAATAAAAATCAAATGCTGTTTCAGAATACAGTCATTTCTCTTCCATCCATAACTGTGAGGGTCCATTTCTGGAGACTGGTTTGCTCGGAGGAGGGGAGAATGAAAAGTAGTGCAGGGCTATGTGATGACCTCTGCAGGACTACTGAGCCTCAGGCTGGCTGTCTTCCCTGCTCTCACACAGGCCTTCCCTGTAGAAAAGGCACTGAACTGTCCTGAGGCTCTTGTTCTTTAAAAGGACACACTGCTTTAAGCAAACTTGTATGAAAATCCTTTACTGAATTTGTTCTTCGCTGAAAAGATTCTTTTAATGGCCAACTCTCCTGGAGATTGGGTTTACAAAAGTCCTGTGGATTCCAGCATTTATTGGGAATAACAATTTCTTTCCTATTCTTAGTGTTTATCATTTGGAGCCACACAGAAAGCATGAATTGGTATCAGTTCTAGGACAAAATTTGAGAGCTCCTGTATTACTGTTGACAGTTGTGGAACTCTGCCTCTACCTCCATTAACTACTTTGTTTTTTAATTGTTTTTTTGTAGGTTTAATGCTTGTTCATAACAAGTTGGTGGACCCCTTGTACAGTATCAAAGAGAAAGAGACAGAGAAAAGCCAGTCTTCTAAGAAACCATACAGTGATTAACCTGTGCTAATCCTAGTGCCAGGCACCTCACCGGGACAGGCAGGTCTTTCTGGAAATTGTCTTGGGGAAGGAATTGTGTTTTTTTCATCCAGTATGATTACTCTGGATAAATGGTTGAACTTAACTGTTCTTGGCTCTGCAGTGTGGAGCCTATTCATGGAGTTTAGCTATAGCAGAAATGACTTGTCTATAACTTATTAATCAGAAAAAAAAATCACTCCATATTTTGATGTCTGCTCTACACAGATTAGGGTTTCGGCTTTGTGTTCTGCCTGACACTGTTCACACGTACAACACACTCCTGTCAGGAATCTATCATCATGTGCAGATTCTCAGCTGGGCAAACAGGCTTGTGGTATTGGACAAACACTCTTTGGAGAGGCTTCAGAGCCCCCTTGACCGGCTGCCCCTTATTTGAGAAGCACTGCTCCAGGTGAAGGGACAAACTCAATGGCTAAAGTCGGCATAAGGAGGCAGTCCCTCTGGTCAGTAACAAGTGCCATGGAGAGAAAACTGCCCCTTACTTTCTTTCCTCAGTTTCTTTCTCTCTCTCTCTCTCTTCTCTCTCTCTCTCTCTCTCTCTCTCTCTCTCGTCTCTGTCTCTCTCTCTCTCTCAGTTGGCCTTCCCATGAACCCTGAGGACTCCTTGGGGGAGGACTTAGGAAGAGAGGGCTAAAGAGAAGGCTTTGCTGATAAGCTCAGAGCCTTGAAAGGCTCAGCAACGTCAAACTCCTCTCCCTCAGGGACCCTCCAGCACCTGAGGAAGGCGAGAAAGGCGGAAACCCTTTTCCCACCAGAGCCCTGTGTTTTTGTTCCAAGGCCTCCCTGTGGCACCCCCTTTTACATACTCATTAATAGTAGAAGGCCCCCTGGGGCAACAGACGCTGGCACGGTTTCAATGTGTTCAGCCAAGGTGCTAGGGGCTGGACAAGCAGCTCAATGGTGAGTTTAGTCACAACACGAGTGACATGCTCTCCTGCTTCCCTAGGAGCTGAGTGCCAAGACAATATACAAATGCTTCTAAGGCTGCCTTTCCCCACCTAACTGCCCCTCTCATCTCTCGGGTTCATGTTGTGTGCTCTGATGTTTCTAGAACATCAGGAAATAGAACCCCTTTGTCCCTTTATCCTTTACCCCTGCTCACAAGATGAGTCTATTGCTGTCTTCCTTCTACCCTCTTACACCTCCTCCCCCCACCTTTGTGCCTGTTTCAAGCTGCTGCCGCCTGTTTCTCATGATCTTTGAAAGCCAGCTCAAGCCTCTAAGTGCTGTTTGGTACCAGCATTTTGTCTTTTTATACGTGATTGTCCTGTCATTCTGTTTTAAGTTGATAGTTCAGTAGGCCTGTTTACAATGTTATATTTTCTATTAAATCCAATGTTTTCAAATTGGTCATTTATGGACTTCTACCACCCCCACTCTCCCAAAGGTTAGAAGATGGTCTGGGTTCATATATATTTTTGGAATAGCTGGTGAACAAAGCTTTATACTCACTCCTCACAACAGCTCTGCCGGAAGTCACAATCATAGCAACTGTTGATCTTTTTCATTTACTGGCGGAAAGAAAGTATGTCATAAAAGTGAGTTGAAAAGCACCTGTGTGAAAAATGGTAGGAATGAAAAGTTGAGCAATAAATTGTTCATGTTCTACCTGTACTTGGGATCCAAACAAGGATACAGCTATTAAAAACAGTAAGGCAGATCTGTGACCAGGAGGATATAAAAATAAAAACTGCATGGTATGGAAAATAGGTTTAGTGTTTTTTTTTGTTTTTAAAGTTAAAAATCAATATAATGGCATATCTTAGGTCAATATAACTGAAGTACAAGTTGGAAGAAGGGTTTAATTTTTTATCAGTTATATTGACATATTTATGTGCTGGGTGGGATTAATTTTTAAGAAGGTATGTTATAGAAAAAATATATTAGAATGAAATGAAAAAGGATTTAGTGACAACAGCCAAACTGGAGATGTCTGTGTGAACTCAGGACCTTAAAAAGATCTGTCTTGCCCAATTGGCGTGGTTGAGCATTGACCTATGAACCAGGAGGTCACAGTCTGATTCCCAGTCAGGGCACATGCCCAGGTTACGGGCTAGAATCCCCCGTGGGGAGTGTGCAGGAAGCAGCAAATCAATGATTCTCTCATTATTGATGTTTCTCTCTGTCTCTCTTCCTTCCTCTCTGAAATCAATAAAAAAATATTTTTTAAAAAGTAATCTTTCCCAGGCCTGTGTTTCCTTGTAGTTCAACAGCAGTGTCATCCGGCTTCTACCAGTTCTTCTGTGGATTCTGGGCCAGCCTGGGCCTCTGATACACACAGGGATTCTTGGACAGGAGCTAATCACATGATTTGGGCAGGGATCACTGTGGGCCTGGAATGTCTTGTTGCCATAAAACAAAGGTGCTTTCAAAAATGAGGCAGTAGCCCTGCCAGGGTGGCTCCGTGGTTGAGCATGGACCTATGAACCAAGAAGTTGATTTGGGTCAGGGAACATGCCCAGGTTACAGGCAGCTGATCAATGTTACTGTCTCATAGGTGTTTGTTTCTATCTTTCCATCCCTCTTCCTTACCCTCTGTAAAATGAACAAAAACATTTAAAATAAATAAAAAATGAGGCAGTATTGAGAGGACGAAGCAGCCTGTTAAATGGGCCTTCCAAGGCCAGGTTGTGACAATTTGACCAATAAATATTTAATATAGCTAAGTAGAAAGAGTCAAGTCTGAAACCCCAAGTCTGATACTCAGAAAGGAAAAAGATTAAGTATACATGGAGAGCTGTATTTCAGGAAGAGTGGGTAGAATGTGTTTCAAGTTGTAAGTGGCAGCATGTTCACACAAATGTGTCACCTCTTCTATTTGTCGTTTACAAAGTAGAGATGGATACAAGAGCCTGGCCCACTATTCCCCTCCAGAATGGCTTACCCCCGTACTTCCTCAGATGTCTGCTCAAATGTCATTTATCAAAGACATTTTCCTTGGCCCTCCAACATAAATAGCAATCCCAATTCTTCTCCCACCCCCAC